GGGCTCGATCCCAGGACCCTGGGATCATGACCTGAGCCGAAGCCAGACGCCTAACAAGTGAGCCACCCAGGCGCCCCTAACTAATGCAGTCTTTAACTGGGCCAGAAGCAGTCACTGTTTTACAAGTACTTGCTCATAAAATCCCAACAGAACAACTGGTATTCGAACCATAAAACTGTTGGTATTTTATGAGGAGAGAAATGGTAACTACTGCGTACCAGGAACAGTTTCATCTGATAGCACTGATAGAATAATCAGATAGTAATCAAAAGTGGTGCAACCAGTCAACACCAAATTGACAGTTTTTTTCCTTCTTTATCTAAATCATGTTATTACCCCCTTCTACTTTCTCATAAACACCTCTTGCTTTCCCCACATGAGTGGGATGCTTTTTCTGGTTACTCTGGAATCCGTGCTCCCCAAGTTGCAATTCTGAGACCCCAGCTTCACCTCCTTTTCTTGGTTGACACCACTATGATCTGTTTTCTGCTCAGAATACTGACACCACAGGTGTGGGTTTCCATACCAAGCAATTTTCTAATTCCCTGCAACAAACTGGAAGGCTTTCCACTTAATCTGACTTGACACTAAGTATCCTGGGTTTGCATAGACCCCACAGGTTAAGGGCTCAGTCCCACAAGACTGCCCACCGCATCAGACACCAATCTCAAGTCGTGGGTCCCAGGGTACCCACAGTTCTGAGTTGGCTATAAATCGGGGTTCTCACAATCCCCTCCTCAGGTCTGAATTTGCTGTAACAGCTCATAGAACTCAGGGAAACACTTCACTTACTATTACCAATTTATTATAAAGGATGTTATAAAGGGTACAAATGAACAGCCAGATGAGGAGGTACATAGGGTGACGTCTGGAAGGGTTCCACGCACAGGATCTTCTGACCCTGTGGACTTGGGGTGTATCACCTTCTTGGTACATGTTCATCAACCCGGTAGATCTCCAAACCCCATCAATTAGGGTTTTTACAGAGGTTCCATTACGCAGGCATGATCGTTGGCCATTGGTGATTACCCAATCTCTACCTCTTCTTCCCTTGCTGGAAGTTGGGGGATGGGACTGGAAGTTACAACCCTCTAGTCATGCCTTGGTTTTTCTGATGGCCAGCCCCCACCCCAAAGCTACCACCAAGAGTGGCCTCCTTGAAAGAGAAGACTTTCTTGTCACCCAGGAATTCCAAGGGATTTAGGAGCTCAGTGTTAGGAACTAGGGACAAAGGCTGTGTTTGCGTGCTCTCTCTCTCTCTCTCTCTCTCTGTTTTTATCATATCACAGTTAGCCACTTATAATAAAAAAGATAAGATTGGCTTTCTACCTTATACCATAAATAAGAATCAATTAAAGATGGATTAAAGACTTAAATATCAAAAACAAAACCTTACATTTTTGCATAGAAAATTTTGATGAATATCTTCCAGGCCTTAAAGTAAAGATTTTTTTAAAGTTTATTTTTTAGGGGCACCTGGGTGGCTCAGTCGTTAAGTGTCTGCCTTCGGCTCAGGTCATGATCCCAGAGTCCTGGGATCGAGCCCCGCAT